CGTATTCCCCTCGCTGTGTGTACTTAATATTGATTCTTAAGAGAAACGTGAGCAACGTTAGATTGTGTTAATGAGGTTAAATCTTCATCCACCAGGAACGTTATCAACCTATCTGTCCATCTAACTCACTCACTCTCTCTCTCTCTCTCTCTCTCTCTCTCTCTCTCTCTCTCTCTCTCTCTCTCTCTCTCTCCATTGAAGCGACAAAATCCGTAGTAGTTTTTCAGAACTATATTGTCTTAATTAATACTTCGTGAAAAGAGAATGGAAGAAACAATTGATGTGAAAGTTAAGTCGGGAGCAGCACCAACGCTCAATGTTGCCACATATGATGCTACATGTTGGACGCTCAAGAATGTGGCGAAACGCGTTAGTCGACCAACTCTAGGAACCGGTCACAATTAGGTCAACACATGTTGCGATTAGCCCATGACAGGTTGATACCTATGTTGTGTCATTACAGGAATTGCGCATGACAGGTTCATTGTAAATTTAACATTAGATCAAAATTATACTAATGACATGTTAACAAATGACTTATGCGCAACACCTGGCTCCCAAGGCTCTATAAGACTGATAAAGCCAGCCCTCAAGGCGAGACGTCTCTCAAAGATGCCCAGGTGTTTTACACCTATCTTTCTGATGTGTGTTGTTTCAGGTGGTGGAAGTGGCATTGGCCGAGCCATCTGTCAGGTGCTGGCCAGGGATGGTGCCAGGGTGGTAGTGGCCGACATCAATCTCCAGGGAGCCCAGGACACCTTAAGCATGCTCCCTAGTAAGTCACCCTTAATATGCTCCCTAGTAAGCCACCCTTAATATACTCCCTAGTAAGTCACCTTTAATATACTCACTAATAAGTCATCCTTAATATATTCCCAAGTGAGTCACCGTTAATATACTCCCTAGTAAGTCACCCTTAATATACTCACCAGTAAGTCACCCTTAATATACTCACTAGTAAGTCACTCTTAATATACTCCCTAATAAATCACAATTAATATACTTCCAAGTAAGCCACAATTAATATACTCCCTAGTAACAATTAGATGCTCTCTAATAGCCAGGTAGCTTGGAATCATATTTTGAACTCAATGCGGTTACCTATGAATATATTAAAATTCCCAGCTAATGCTGAAGGCATTAGCTTCAATAATGACCCATATAGTTTACTCCTCTCATCTATAACTGTTGTCAATCCAGTGCTTTACAAAATCCTTCTAAGGCTGAAAATATTCACTCTGAATAGAGTCCACAGAATCTCCACTACTCAATGAAGTCGTTCCAGCTCCTAACACGATCAGCTATCATACCCACAATTAAAACAGTACATAACATTGTTGCGAAATGCCACTCCCTCGCCGGATCACCATCTGGAAAAGACACGCGCCGGGAGAGTACAGGCGAATCAAGAAGCCACTCCCTCAATTCATCCTCAGCACCAAACATCAGTCACTACCTCAGCACCAACATCAATCATTGCCACGCTCTCGGTGTTTTCAAGAGTTTGATACCACCACCCATCACACTCACAGATCAATAATTACACTTTCAGTTACACCCAAAATACATGACGCTGCCACCTATCATCACACCCACAGTTCACTCTCAGTATCTATTGCCATCGTCTTTTTTATCTTTACGCAGATGCCGGCGACCACTTGGCCCTACCCATAGACGTAACAAGTCAAGACTCTGTAGACTCAGCCATCAAGGCTATCACGGAGAAGTACCAAACTCCTCCCAGTCTCCTAGCCAACAGCGCGGGAATTACGGCGAAGTTTCCTTTTTTGGATATTGAAGAAAAAGCCTTCATGGACGTGATAGATGTTAACCTCAAAGTATGTTATCTCTGGCTGTTAGCGTCATAACTGTCTTCCTTAAAGGGATTTCTTAGATTCTGTCAAAAAACGTTTTAGCGTGTCCATGATCGTTATTCACAACTATTTGAAACCTGATTTATCAGGTGAGACAAAGAAACATAATACAAGGAGCTAAGATTACGTGATACAGGTGATACTTTGCGAGAAACTAGTTGTACAGACAGGTATAAGTGTACATTTCTACTAATGACATTAAGTGTCAAATTTTTATCTTTGATGAATTATGAAATTTAAACTTAGAAACAATCCAGTATAACCTAAAACAATCCCATTTAACTTAGGATAATCGATATAAACCTTTGATAACCCAATTTAATTTAGGATATAATCTGAAAAATTTACTATTGTTGAAATTCACAACATTTTTCGTTAATTAGGTTTGTGTGTAGCATTAGGCTGGTTGATTAATGGGGATGTAAAGCCTGTGACTACACTAGGCTCAAAACCTTCACACTGCCAAACAGGAATATTTTAGCACTTAAAATTGGGATTAAACTGTCAGCATGTATACCTTAAGAGGAAGATGAGATAAGATTTTGTTAGGAAATTTAACCCCGGAGGATTAGCCAAGAAAGTCTGTGTCTGTCTTATTTCCACTGGGGTCCTAAAATATTGTCCCCCAGGATGCGACCCACACCAGTCGACTAATACCCAGGTACCTATTGGTTGCTAGGTGAACAAACAGTAGGTGTGAGGAAGCACGCCCATTATTATTATTATAATCAAGGGGGAAGCGCTAAACCCGGAGGATTATACAGCGCCTGGGGGTTGGTTGTGGAAGGCATTCAGGCTTAATTCGGGGAACTGGAGCACAGATCCAATTCCCTAAATCAAGAGCCCCTCACCAACATCAAGGAACCTTCCTTGAGGGGTGGAAGCACGCCCAATGTTTCCATTGTAATCCTTATAGAGAATAAACTTTGAATTTGAATTTGAACAATAATACACTATATACAAACTGTGTCTCGTGACTTGATAGGCAACACTCGCCTCACACACTGAGTGTCCGTGGTTCAGTCCCCGGCAAGAGTGGAAGCATGCCCAATGTTTTCACTCTTGCCGGGGACTGAACCACGGACACTCAGTGTGTGAGGCGAGTGTTGCCTATCAAGTCACGAGACACAGTTTGTATATAGTGTATTATTGTTCAAATTCAAATTCAAAGTTTATTCTCTATAAGGATTACAATGCTGAGTTTACAGAATTTGGTTATTGTGTGGTTTACATGTAGTAAAATAATGATTACAGAGTGTACCACTAGAACACCTAGCATGGCTAGGCATTTCGGGCAGCCTTAGTTTAAATCTTAATTTTAAAATATTACAAATTGTGAGGTAAGTTGGTATTATGACTAAGTGACTAAATACTAGTGTGAGTTTAGCAATGTGAATGCTTTTGTTTTGGCACAGTACATAGTTTCAGTATTGGAGTGTCACAGGATTCATTATTTTTAGATTGAGATTAATATTTCTGTTTATGGTCAAATGGGTGAGTAAGTGTGAACCACCAGATGGTATTCGTGTAGTTAGTTGACGGGGTGTATCAGGGAGATAAGATGTTTTCTAATGGTAGTTTTGAAGGTGATGTGTTGATAGAATTACCTACAATATACGTGATATAAAGTATAAGGTATAAAACAGGGCAATGATATAATACTTCAGTATTGACTCCTGTTAGTACGTCATTGTTAAAACAAGAAATCCTATTCATAATTGTATCAAGAAGTGTAAGCAACAGAAGTCCAGAGGTCATACTGCAGCTTTATACATCATTAGTAAGGCCTCACATAGATCATGCAGCTCAGTTCTGGTCTCCATATTACAGAATGGACATAAATTCGTTAGAAAACATTCAGCGTAGGATGACTAAATTAATACATAGCTTTAGAAATCTTCCTTATGAAGAAAGATTGAAGACTCTTAAGTTACATTCACTTGTCAGACGAAGAATGAGGGGAGACCTGATCGAAGTGTATAAGTGGAAGATAGGTATTAATAAAGGGGATATTAACAAGGTCTTGAGGATATCTCTCCAAGAGAGAACCCGCAGTAATGGATTTAAATTAGATAAGTTTAGATTTAGAAAGGACAGGAAAGTATGTATTGGTTTGGAAATAGGGTAGTTGATGAGTGGAACAGTCTACCTAGTTGGGTTATTGAGGCTGGGACTTTGGGTAGTTTCAAATTTAGGTTGGATAAGTACATGAGTGGGAGGGGTTGGATTTGAGTGGGACTTTCACATCAGAGCTTATTTCTTGGGTGGCATTGAAAATTGGGTTGGGCAAATGTTTTGTTAGTGGGATGAATTATAAAGGACCTGCCTAGTATGGGCCAACAGGCCTCCTTTCTTATGTTCTTATGTTCTAAGGGCATATAGGATCAACAATTTAAACTCGGCATAATGCTGTACGTACGTACTTTGGTCATATTCTCTGTTATTAGTTCTCGGGGGTTAGTAAGCATAAGAAAATATATTTCCCTTCAATTTTTAATAAGCTGGGTAATGTTACTGAAGTGACGAAAAATATTTAGACGAGTTATACCTGGTCTTGTTGAGAAGTACGAGCGAACCGACAGCAAAAATATTTAAGAGAATGATCAGGTGTAACTTCAGCAATCATAAAACAGTGATCGCAAGTTTACTAGTCAACAGGTACACACAAAATACAGTTTCAGAAATTATCATACATGGTAACATATGTGTAAATTAACTAGGATGACTCCAAAAAGGGGTCAGGCAAACATCTCGTTGTATTAGTAACTCAGAATAACCCATTAAAGCCAAATATTATGAAGTGTTTCTACTGAGACTCATTTTCTTTAGTTTCTCCAGAAAGTGACTAAACAGTCAACTAGCACCCACGTAAATATTTAGCATTAAATATAGAGGACAACAGGAATAAGAACCCCAGTGAAAATAAGTCAGTTTATCTAACTTTTTTGGGTTATCCTAGGTAATTTACACTATGTACACTATATACCAGTGCCTAAATAAACTTAAGGAAGCGAGCCCACTGGGAAGGAACCCCAAATCCGAAGTTGCATCCACTGAATCTCTAGCCATTAAAATACACTATTACGTATTATTAAGTGCTTTGTAACTGGCAGTGCCAAGAATTGAACATTTAACCTTTCGTAATGAAAATTTTGTCCATTTTCTGGTTTAGAGTGATATTACATTACACATACCATATGGAGACTACATGCTGGTGTTATTTTGAAAATAAGATTCAAACTGCAGAGATATATTTTCAATCCAGTGAAGACTACAAAAGGGCCCCATGACTGTCCTGGGTTATCTTGAGTTGCTAACCTTCTGAGTTAATAATCCGAATAAATTCATCAAGCTACTCATATGTTGATTTAAGAACATAAGAACGAAGGAACACTGCAGAAGGCCTACTGGCCCATGCGAGGCAGGTCCAAGTCTCCTACCGGCTTAAGCCAATGCACCCAACCTAGTCAGGTCAGGTCACATTGACTTAAGGGAGGAACACGGCAACCGACCTGGTAGCTCAAGCTATCAGGTCTAACTCACGCCCACCCACACCCACTCGTGTATTTATCCAACCTATTTTTAAAGCTACACAACGTTCTGGCCTCTATAACTGTACTCGGGAGTTTGTTCCACTCATCCACAACTCTATTACCAAACCAGTACTTTCCTATATCCTTCCTGAATCTGATTTTTTCCAACTTAAAACCATTGCTGCGAGTCCTGTCTAGGCTAGATATTTTCAGCACATTATTTACATCCCCTTTATTTATTCCTGTCTTCCATTTATACACCTCAATCATATCCCCCCTAATTCTACGTCTTTCTAGAGAGTGCAGATTCAGGGCCCTTAGTCTATCCTCATAGGGAAGGTTTCTGATACATGGAATCAACTTTGTCATCCTCCTTTGTACATTTTCCAGAGCATTTATATCCATTCTGTAATACGGTGACCAAAACTGTGCAGCATAATTTAAATGAGGCCTAACCAAGGATGTATAGAGTTGAAGAACAACCTGAGGACTCCTATTATTTATGCTTCTTGATATGAAGCCAAGGATTCTATTAGCTTTATTGCGAACACTTATGCACTGTTAGTCTTGGTTTCAGATTACTGCTAACCAGAACTCCTAAATCTTTTTCGCAATCCGTAATATTAAGATCTACATTATTTAGTTTATATGTGGCATGGTTATTGTCCTGTCCAACATTTAGAACTTTGCATTTGTCTATATTAAACTGCATCTGCCACTTCTCCGACCACTGCATCAGTCTATTCAAATCTTCCTGGAGTGCTCGAATGTCCTCGTCAGAATGAATTCGACGGCCTATTTTGGTGTCATCGGCAAACTTGCCGATGTCGCTCTTTATGCCCTCATCTACGTCGTTTATGTAGATTGTGAACAGCAGGGGGCCCAACACTGACCCCTGTGGAACACCGCTCGTGACGCTTCCCCACTCTGATTTCTCCCCATTTATGCAAACTCTCTGCTGCCTATTTGTCAACCATGCCTCTATCCAGGAAAAAATTCTCCTCCTATTCCATGTGCTTTAATTTTCCTCAATAGTCTCTGATGTGGGACCCTGTCAAAAGCCTTACTGAAGTCCATATACACAATATCATATTCATTACCATGATCTACCTCCTCAAATACCTTAGTGAAAAAAGTTAATAAATTCGTAAGGCAGGAACGCCCCTTTGTAAAACCATGCTGAGATTCGTTGATTAATTTATGCTTTTCAAGGTGGCTACGAACTGCCTCGGCAATTATTGATTCCATAAATTTTCCCACGATGGAGGTTAGGCTTATTGGTCCTATAGTTCGAAGCTAAGGACCTGTCACCTGTTTTGAAAATAGGTATCGCATTTGTCATTTTCCACTTATCTGGCACCATGCCAGTTTGTAGTGATATGTTGAAAAGATTAGCCAAAGGTGTGCTAAGCTCCTCTTTACATTCCTTTAGAACCCTTGCATACAGTTCACCAGGGCCTGGGGATTTGTTAGGTTTTAATTTATCTATTTGCCTAAGGACCATGTCACTTGTGACCCTAATCGTGCACAGTTTATTATCGTCCTGTTCTACATAATTTATCATTACTGGAATACCGCTGGTATCCTCCTGTGTAAAAACTGAGAGGAAGTATGTGTTAAAAATTTTACACATTTCCTTATCACTGTCAGTGAGCTGACCCGAGGAACTTTTGAGTGGGCCTATCTTGTCCCTGATCTTACTTCTGTATACCTGAAAGAATCCTTTTGGGTTAGTCTTCGATTCTCTTGCAACTTTAACCTCATAATCTCTTTTTGCTTTTCTAATTCCCTTTTTTATTTCTCTCTTTAACTGAATATATCGATTTCTTAATTGCCCCTCTCCTCTTTTGATTTGCCTATATATGACTCTCTTTTGACCAATCAGATATTTTAATCTATTGTTCATCCATTTAGGATCATTTTTGTTTGATCTGATTTCCCTATTTGGAACATAATTTGACTGAGCAGCTGGAACTATGCCCTGGAAAGCATCATATTGGCAACCATCACCACCTACCTGACCCTTAGTCAGGTCATTCCAGTTCAGCCCACCTAAGTAATTTTTCAGTCCTATGAAATCAGCCAAGCGAAAGTCAGGGACGGAGACTTGATTGCCATTATTAGGGGAATTCCATGATATATTAAAACTGAGTGATTTATGATCACTTTCCCCAAGCTCATCATTAACCTCAAGATTATTAATTAGTGTTTCCCTACTGGCAAGAACAAGTCAAGGAGGTTATTTCCCCTAGTTGGCTCTGTCACAAACTGTTTTAAAAAACAATCCTGGATCGTATCAAGAAAGTCACCTGACTCTAAATTTCCTGTCAAATTGCTCCAGTCAATCTGTCTATAGTTGAAATCTCCCATTAGCACAACATTTTCGTATGTAGATGCCTTACGAATTTCGTCCCATAGAAGTTTACTGCACTCCCTATCAAGATTTGGGGCCCTGTAAATCACACCCAAAATTAGTTTTTCTCGGCCCTCGAGAAGCTGTAACCAAACAGATTCAGTGGCTGACGCTTCTAATTTAATATCTTGTCTAACACAGCAATTTAAATTGTCTCTGACATACATCGCTACTCCACCACCTTTCCTGTTGACCCTGTCAGTGTGGAATAATTTATAGCCTTGTATGTGACATTCAGAGGGCATCTCTCTATCTTTCCGATTGAGCCAGGTCTCTGTTATAGCAATAATATCTATGTTTCCTGCACTTGCAATTAATCTTAGCTCATCTATCTTATTTCTTACACTCCTGCTATTAGTATAGTAAACCTTAAGGGAGCTAGTCCCTTGCTGCCCTCTGCTGACCCCCTCTGTTTGCTGACCTGATCTATTGTCTTTATTTATAACTTCATGCTGAATGCCTTTTATACATTTACTGTTTCCAACCCTAGTGTTGCAACCTGCTTGTTTCCCACACACACCCATACCTCTATCTTCCATCAGTTTAAAATCATAGGCATTTCACCAATGGCCTTCTCAATCGAGTCTGCAAGTGCTACCACCCCTGCCCCAGAGAGATGTACCCCATCCCTTGCATACATATCATGTTTGCCATAAAAGTTGTTCCAGTTGTCAATGAATGGGATTGCAAGTTCCTTGCAGTATCTGTCTAGCCAGCAATTTACACCAATTGCCCTAGACAACCATTCATTTCCTACTCCCCTTCTAGGCAAGATGCTACATATGATTGGGATCCCTCCCTTAGACTTAATGAAATCTATAGCAGCTCTAGCAGCTCTTCTCTCCTACCGTTCCCAATATCATTTCCACCAGCACTGAGACAGATAATGGGCTTGTTCCCATTACCTGACATGATATTATCCAGCCTGTTGACAATGTCCCCAACACCAGCTCCAGGGAAGCACACTCTATCTCTCATCTTCTTATTCCTATTACAAAAAGCACGGTCAATATATCTTACCTGAGAGTCACCAACCACAAAAATGCGCTTACCTCCATTAGCAGGGGCAGTAGTACCCTTACCTTCACTGGCCACTGAAGTACATTCATCCTGAAGAACAGAGAAGCGATTTCCTACCTTCAGATCTTCACGCTTAACTTTCCTTACTCTGATGCGCCTCCCATTACTGTGAACCACTCGCCACTTGTAGCAGGTGCTGGGCTGCACCTCACTGCTAGAAGCCTCATTCCCCACAACTCCAGCCACCTCACACTCTCTCCCAGACCCATTGAGGTGCACAAAATGCCGGGGAACTAGGCCCCAAAAGGGTTAACAGGAGTACATTTTGATTTATATCTACAGTTCACTTATCTGTTACAAGCAAATTTAGGAAATTTGCTTAGTATATCTGGTATCTTATTTTCATTAATAAGACATCTTGTAATGTCACATAGGTTATTATACTGTCTCTGTATTCATCAATAAGTGGACAATTAAGCACAGCGTTCAAGACAGTGGCTATATGCCTAACCACATAATTTGTATTTGGGTTGATCATCTGTGTGACTCCCAAACTGCCAGAAGTACTTGTTACCAAGCCTAAGCCTGGCCACTACAACATCAGTCAGTCTGTTCACATTGCAAGTTGCTCCATAAACATACTTATCTACGTTCATGTTATCATAGTGGGTTATAGATCTACTCAGGCTTTAACTGCAGTCCTATAACACTGTTTCTCATTCTTTACGTCTCTCCTAATATTATTCATAATGCAAGACACAGATATACCAAAGTTATATTCTACATTCTCTTTCAGGGTACTCTTCTTGTCTAACATATCAACTTTATCATGGCGAAATCCAGTATGTGATGGGATCCATAGCAATTGTACATTAATTCCTTTTTCCCGGATTTTTCATGATCTATACCTGGCTTTCCCAATGAACATGTTAAGAGTCATTATATGAGTCAAGACCCTTCATTGATGACATAGAATCAATAATGATGATGGAGTCAAGCTTAGTGTCGATAGTTGACTTTAGCGCCATTAGGATTGCAAACAATTCAGTTTGCAGTGTAGATGCCCAGTTGTTATTTATGTCTAACTCAAATTTATTATCGTTCTTAACTAGAGAGGTATGTGGAACATATGGGTAACTATATTTGAACAGTCACACAGTCTTTGTGTAGCAAGGCTGATTACCTCATTTTCTGTTGTCTTTGTATATCGTCTCTATTTTGATTTGGGTCTAGAGAAACGTATTCAAATGAAGGTCGATTTCTAGCGCACTCGGCACACACTGAGGTGGTCCGTGGTTCGATCCACGGTACGGGTGAGACCATTAGGACGTTTAATGAAAACACATGCTGTTTCTGTTCACCTAGCAGTATAATAGGTACCTGGGTGTTAGCTGACTGGAGTGGGCCGTATGCTGGGGACAAATGCTCTGCATAACAAGGGCTTTCTGTATAGTAGTATGTCACTGACGCCAGCTACATCTGGATACGTTGTACATGTACTTATAGAAATAAAGATTATCAAATTACTATAGATGTTGCGCGTACCTTATGTTGCTTGGCTTAGGCAGACGCATTTTAAACATGATGAAACTAATCTGAGACACACACACACACACACAGGGAACCTTCCTTGTGAGTCAAGCAGTCATCAAGTCGCTGTTGAAGCAGGAAGCGCTCGGTGTTGTGGTCAACATTGCCAGCCTTGCCGCAACTACTCCCACTATGCTGCCAGCAAGGGTGGTGTGATGGCCCTCACTAAGTCCATGGCAGGAGAATTCGCAAAGTTAGATCCTTTTTTTCTTTAAACATGGATTATTTGAGCATACAGGGCATATATATTGAACACATTATTTTTAATTTAGTTTTCTCATTATACCAGGAAGGGTGTTCGGGTAAACTGCATACTTCCTGGTCTAATCGATACTCCTCTAGTGAATAACGTGTCTCCGAAGTTGCTTGCAGCAATTGCCCTCACTGCAGTGGGAAGAATTGGACAAGCTGAAGGTTGGTACTATAAGACAGGGATACTCTTACATAAGGCACAGGGGAGACATTTTTCCCTATATTTTCTGTAAAGGGTAATGTATAACGTTCTCCTTATTTTTGAGAAGCTACGTAAGAAAACCGGCACAAAATTTACTTAAATGTTTACTTAAAAAACATACGTTTAACTCTTAATTTAAAAAAAAGAAAAAAAAAAACACTCACTATTGAATATATATATATATATATTATATATAATATATATTATATATATAATATATATATATATATATATGCAAGGAATTCGCAAGAGCAGGCGAAATATACACGAACACTGATCTCTGGTTGAAGGAGACTCGAACCTACGAACCTTGGAACAAGGTACGCAGTGCTTTACCAATCTACCCACACTGGACAATACCTTGGAGTCCAGCTTGCGCTAGACTTTGATCCAAGGCAGCCATCTTTCAGGGAGAAGGTTTACGGCTTTGTGTTTGTGTATATTTCTCCTGATCTTGCGAATTCCCTGCATTGTTAATATCTCTAGTAAGGCTGATGCATGCAGGGGATGAGATGAAAAGCTGTAAACCTTCTCCCTGAAAGCTGGCTGCCTTGGATCAAAGTCTAGCGCAAGCTGGACTCCAAGGTATTGGCCAGTGTGGGTAGATTGGCAAAGCACTGCGTACTTTGTTCCAAGGTTCGTAGGTTCGAGTCTCCTTCAGCCAGAGATCAGTGTTTATATATATATATATATATATATATATATATATATATATATATATATATATATATATATATATAATGGGGTCCATCTCTGGTGTAAATTGTGGGACCCATAGCCTCGGAGAAGTGGATAAAAAGGCTTCAAGGAAGAATATTCGGATTTCTTCCTGAAACCGTTTGAATATTCCACTTCCCCTACCACCCCACCTTTTCATTCTTTTTTACCAGTAGGTATATTTTATTACATAATATGGTACAAAAAGGTTTAAGAGATACATTTTTTATATAAAGATGGCATATATAGTACATGAGGTGTGAGAGACATGTCTAGTACATATTGTTACATGTTTGTCACTGATTATAATGCGAAAATCTCATCCAGTTCTTCATGTGTGTGTCTCTCTCTCTCTCTCTTCTCGTTTTCCCCTCTCTCTCTCGTCTCTCTCTCTCTCTCTCTCTCTCTCTCTCTCTCTCGTGCCGAATAGGTAAAACTGGTCAATTAGCAAGAACTCGTTTAAAATTAAGTCCTTTCTAAAAAAATTTATCTTGTACGTTTAAAGATGTAATTTTTTCATTTACGTTAATTTAAAAATTAATAATTTTGTACTAAGAGAACCTTAGGCAACTTATTTAACCTTATTATAACAAGCGCAATTTAATTTAGCCAAATCAAACTAAATATATTTTAGATAAGTTTACAATAATTAAATAATTAACAAACGCAATGCAATATATTTTTATCGTTAGGTTCACAATGATTTTTGCGAAATTATTGCGTACACATACTTTCGCTTGATTTATTCGGCAAGAAGAGCGTTGCTATTTAAGCTAAAATCTCAAGTTTTACCTATTTCGCACGACATATATATCATTAACAGAACTGCGGCTGGCCAGGACTCGATCATGCGTCACCATGCACTACTGAGCGTATTTTTGCTTAAGGATTTATTGCCCAGTGGATAGTGATACGTAGTTTGTTCAGTTCTTACAGGGCTGGGCGTGGGAACGCAGGGTCGAGTAGTAAAGACACCTGTGGATTTTCTGTGAGAAAATAATTTTTACTCCCAAACAGAGGTGGCCGAAGTGGTGGCGTTCCTTCTGTCGGAGAAGAGCAGCTTTATGGTAGGGTCTTGTGTGGAGGTCTCAGGTGGATATGGCATTTAATTTGACTCTGAAGGAGACAGGCTCCAGCGTCAGGACGTTAAGGGAACTTTGAGGTTATCGTCTGCAGTCACAAGAGGTGAAGTAAATTTTGAAGTATCCACTGCCAATGGGATGAGAATTTTAAAGAAGCCATTCCCAAGTCAGTAAAATACGTGATATGGATTTTGTATCAGCCACCCCTAACACCAAAATAATTATGAATATTGAGGCTACTATTACCAGCGTCACGATGTGCCAGGAGCCTTGAGGAGCTTGTCTGACACTTGACATGAAAAGAACTCTGGGGATCAATTTTATCGGGCAACATTCAGTACTGATGAAGATTTACAATAAATTACTAAAAAAGAATAATTTTCCTTATTTATTCCTTCTGGATTCATAATATGTATGAATATATTCCTTTTAGATGGTAAGCAGATAAATAATAGCAAAATGGTGACAATTGGAAATAAAGACAATGGTGAAGGAGGATACTTCTAATACAACATTTTTCCTATTAGGTCAAGCTCGGAGAAAGACATTACACACAAGGTCATTGAGACAACAAGTCACTCAAGGTCTCGAAAACTGCGAGATGAAGCCTGGCGAGCTTAAGTATTGGTGGTATCAGAAGATGGGAGTAAGGTGACAAGTTAATGATTTCACGAATCGTGTACAATGTATACAGTACGTGAAGTCATCCTGTAGATTCCATTGCCCTGCTCACTGGTTTTAGTTAAGTGGATCATTGCTGATTCTAAAATTCTGCGTCTGACTGTATTGTTCTCGTGGTGCAACAACTGTGCTCTTCCTAAGTCCGTGACGTGAGACTGAAGGTTGTAATGGAATACGCATTGGTTCTTGGTTTTATACCTCCTGCAGACTAAAGCTCCTGAAGGAGTGTCTGAAGGTCTCTACCGATTTCTTGTAGAATTTATAGGAACCACTACATGCATGCTGTATACTCCTGTTACGTAAATAGTTCTAGCTTAAGGGTTTCTGGTGATCACTGAAGTTTTGGTAGCAAGGACTGCTACAACTGTCTTGACTTTTCGGAGAATCTTAGCGATGGTAATGGTAGTCTGCTCATTAGGGAGGACCAGTAGTTTATTAAGGTCGAGGTTCTGACCAGAGCTTTGGTAAGATGGGGAAGTAAGAAGGATGGGTATGGATGGAAATGGGAAAGGGTTGGGAGGGTGGTGGGGAGGTTGGGTTTTTAAAGGTGCAGTTTAAAAAAAGTGTGTGTGTGTGTGTTGTGTTATTCATGAAAAGTTGGATTCATAAGATAAGTATCCATTCTTCTAATTCTTTGGGGAGGTCACTCAGGATTCTTGGTCGAGGGGAGTTTTCCTTGTGGATGAAGCGTCGGACTCTATGATGGAGGATCATTTTTCGGGATCTGTGGGGGGGATGTGTTGATGGTGTAGTCGGTAGTGTTCGATGGTTGGGGTGGGTTCTCTCTGTCGGGTACATAAAGTTCTTGCATGTCATATAGTTGTCTCTTCTTGTATTTGTCTAACCTGACATTAATTGCAGTGATTCTTTGTTGTATGTGCAGGTCTTCTGTCCCGATTCTGTCTCTGAATCTGGTGCCAGTGATAAAGCGGAGGGCTCTGTTCTAGACTCTTTGGAGTTTTAGCATGTTGTTTTAGTTGTTAGTGACATGGGTACGCAAGGAGTCGGATCATCTTGTACAGGTGTTTCTTGATGTGAGTGGGGGCTGCATTGAATTTGAAAAGTTGGCCAAGGCGGGCTTTTGTTAGGTTCACTTAGTTGGCTATGTGGGATGTGAAGTGGAGTAATCTGTTGATCTCATACCCTAGGATCTTGTTTGGATTTCCGATAGCTATTCGTGTACCTCTGATGGAAATACCCCCTTTGTCTTTTATGGTTGATGCTAAACAGCCAATGGTGATGATGAGAACTTTATCTGGGTTGGTTGTGATTCTCCATTTTTTCCTCCCACTTAGCTGTTCTCCGTAGTTCTTCGTTCATTTTCTCTATTGCACTCTTATGTTTGTTTACACCAGAGATGGGGGTTGAAGAGACTACATGGATAACATAGTCTGCAAATTGGGTGATGATGGTATCATTGTGTTCAGGTTGGGGAAGGTCGTTGACATATATATTGAAGAATATATCGCTGAGGCAAGAGCCTTGTGGTACTCCAACTGTCGGCGTGAAGGGTGTTGTTGCCGTACCATGGAAGGTGTGAAGGATACTTCTACCTGATAAGAAGTTGTATATGAGCCTGAGAAAGGTCCAGTTGTGATCAAAGGGGTCTGCAAGTTTGAAAATAAGTCCGTCGTGCCACAGGCTGTCGAAGGCCTTGTGTACGTCCCTAGTTGCAATCAGGGACAGGTCCTCTTTCTTCCTCAGGCTGGCCACGGCATCAGAGACATTTATCGCATGTTTGTGCTGCGGTGGGACCTGAAGCCGAACTGCTTTTCGGAGAATAGGTGGTTGAATTTCATGTAGTACTTCAGTCTGAGATTATTCTTTTTCGAAGACTTTGCCAGTGACTTCGAGTAGGGAGATGGGCCTGTAGTTCTCATGGTTTCGGTTGTCCTTGTTGGGTTTTGTGATGAAAATCATCTTTGCCGTCTTTATTGATGCTGGGATTTTTGGGAATGCGTGTATGAGGAAGGCTTTCTCTTTATAGTAGATAATGTCTGTTGGGAATTTTATGTTGGTGGACACCTCAACATATTTTTATTCTAACAAATATTTCCTCTGCTAACAGCGTCTATCGCCTTCGACCTTAGACCAAAATTTATTTAATTCTCCTTTTGTTGCTAGAACACAAAGATTTTGTTCTAATTAATAACCCCGCAGTGTTAATAACTCAGTATATATCAAGAATACCAAGCAATGTGGCTTGTTTTCACTGGGGTCCTTTTCAGGTTTTTTCCCCAGATAAGGCCTATAACTATATTCTTGATACTAGATATCTATAAATAAAATCTTTCTGATAATGCAAATTGCGTAACACTTAAGAAAATATAGCAGCCATACTTGACGAGTGACAGATTATGAGCAGCCAGTTCCAGTCCTCTCTCTCAGGATGTCATCTGTTTTTGGTGGTTAAAGTGGCGCTGGTCACAGGTAAGATGTCAACATTACGTACGTGTAAGTTACCATTTTCTAACTGGTACTTGTCGCTTGTTGTGTGTACTCACCTATTTGTGGTTGCAGGGGTCGATTCATACCTCCTGGCCCCGCCTCTTCACTGATTGCTACTAGGTCCTCTCTCTCCCTGCTCCATGAACTTTATCATACCTCGCCTTAAAACTATGTATGATTCCCGCCTCCACTACTTCACTTTCTAGGCTATTCCACGGCTTGACTACTCTATGACTGAAGAAATACTTCCTAACATCCCTTTGATTCATCTGAGTCTTCAACTTCCAATTGTGACCTCTTGTGTCTGTGTCCCATCTCTGGAACATCCCGTCTTTGTCCACCTCATCTATTCGCGCAGTTATTTTATATGTTGTTATCATGTCTCCCCTGACCCTCCTGGCCTCTAGTGTCGTCAGGCCGATTTCCCTCAACCTTTTCTTCGTAGGGACAATCCCCGTAGCTCTGGGACTAGTCTTGTTGCAAACCTTTGCATTTTCTCTAATTTCTTGACGTGCTTGACTAGGTGTGGATTCCAAACTGGTGCTGCATACTCCAGTATGGGCCTGGCGTAAATGGTATACAGAGTCTTGAACGAAATCCTTACTGAGGTATCGGAACGCTATCCGTGGGTTTGCCAGGCGCCGTATGCGCAGCTTTTTCGATTGATGGGGCCCCCTCAGGAGTTATGTCGGGTTTACTCCCCCCAGTCTTTTTTTTGAGTGGGGTTTTGCAGATTTTGGGGCCATCTAAATATATTGTGTCTGCGGTCTTTTTTCCCCTTCCCCAATCTTAGACTTTGCTTTGGCAGGGTTTTAACTAAGGACCCCAGTTGTGGACCGGCTTTTTTGCCGTCCAGGTCTCTTTGTAGCCCTCCCTGATCCTCATCATTTTTTTTCTTCTAATTTTTTCGCATCATTGCAAAAAAGGGAAAACCCTTCGAGTTACCCTTTTCCCCGTTATGTCTTCACATTTGCCAAGAACTGCACAGGTCCTAGACGACTCCGGGGAACCCGCTTGTCACATGCGCCCACTCTGAACCCCGTCACGTACCATGACTCGCTGTTGCCTCCCTTCAGGTTTTCTTGATCCATTGCAGTCCCTTTCCCCTGTATGTGTGCTGATCCTTAGTTTTCAGAACCCTTGTGGGGAAATGTGTCAAAGGGCCCTTCTTGCACCCAAAAAAATGCAGTCGACCAAAACCCCTCTCTCTTGTCTTACTTCTGCCCCTTGTCATAAAACTTAGTGGGTTTTGTGAAGGATTTTTCCCTCCTGAAACCATGCTGGTTGTCAATTATACACTTGTTTCTTTCCAGGGGGCCCACCTCTCCTCCTGAGATCTTCCCCAGGCCTTGCATATATACACGTTAGTGATACGGTCTGTATTTTGTCCCTCATGCTGTGCCCCTTTTTTTAAAAAATTGGGACTACATTTGCCATCTTCCATACCTCGGGGAGTTGCCCTTTTCAAATGATGTGTTGAGATCTTTGTTAAGGGTACACACAATATCTCCCCCTTTTTAAAGGGACCCACAGAGAGATTTTTTGGCCCCACCGCCTTTGAGGTGTCAAGTTAGCATTGCAGCTTCTTTTGTGTGTGTGTGTGTGTGTGTGTGTGTGTGTGTGTGTGTGTGTGTGTGTGTGTATTTTGTTGTTACTCGCCTAGTTGAGGTTGCAGGGGTCGATTCCTAGCTCCTGGCCCCGCCCTCTTCACTGATCGCTACTAGGTCACTCTCCCTGAACCGTGAGCTTTATCATACCTCTGCTTAAGCTATGTATGGATCCTGCCTCCACTCATCGCTTCCCAAACTATTCCACTTACTGACTACTCTGTGGCTGAAGAAATACTTCCTAACATCCCTGTGATTCATCTGTGTCTTCAACTTCCAACTGTGTCCCTTGTTACTGTGTCCAATCTCTGGAACATCTGTCTTTGTCCACCTTGTCAATTCCTCTCAGTATTTTGTATGTCGTTATCATGTCCCCCCTATCTCTCCTGTCCTCCAGTGTCGTCAGGTTGATTTCCATTAACCTCTCCTCGTAGGACATACCTCTTAGCTCTGGGACTAGTCTTGTTGCAACCTTTGCTTTCTCTGTTTCTTACGTGCTTCAGGTGGTGGGGGGGTTCCAAACTGGTGCCGCATACTCCAATATGGGCCTAACGTACACGGTGTACAGGGTCCTGAATCCTTTTAAGATGTCGGAATGCTGTTCTGGAGTTTGCTAGGGCATGTGTGGGTTTTTTGGAGTGTGTTGTGTGTTTTGTGCGTCTGTGTGTGTTTTTCTGCTTCTGTTTTTCTTGCGTGAGGTTTTAGTCTGTGCTTCTCCGTCTGTTCTTTCTCCGTCTGTTGTTTTATCTTTTGTCTGTGTTGGTGGTGTTGGTTTGGGGGTATTGTGTGGTGTGTGTTGTGTGTTGTTTTTGTGTTTGCTGGTCTTGTGAGTGTGTGTTGTTTCTTTCGTCTCTGCCTGGGATTGGTTTGGTGGTTGTCTTTCCTTTGTGTTGTTGTGGTTGGGGTTTTTCTGCTTGGTGTGTTTGGGGGTTTTAGTGCGCGCTCTTTCCTTTTCTGAGTTTGAATGTGTTTTTTACTGCGTTGGTTCTGTGTGTTGGGTTGTGTGGGTGTCGTGGTGTGTACTCATGTGGTTGCAGGGGTCGATCATACTCCTGGTCCGTTCTCACTGGCCGCTACTGGGTCCTTCCCTGCCCACCTGGCTTATCCCTTTTTAACTTGTTATTCCCCGCATTTATTTCCCTTATCTTTCCCTGCCTTGACTCTGTGTGAGAGAAACTTCCTTATCATACCTTTGGACATTCCGAGTCTTAATTCAATTTGTCCCACTTGTTGCTTTGTCCTTCTTACGTCTTTTCGTCTTCTAAATCTCTCAGTATTTTATAGTCGCTATCAGTCCCTCCGTGTCTGTGTAACTTAAAAATGTTTGCATAACGTTCCATTTGACACTGACCAGATATAAACATGTAAATAGTTCACTATCACTGTATCCTGTTCAGCTATCATAACTTTGAGGCCCAGTCCCTGGACCATTTTGTACCTTTGTAATAATTTGACTACCGCCCACAGGATGAGTCTTAACTTACTGAAAATTATCACGACTCAGTTTAATTTCAGTGTTATCTCTAAGAGAGAACGACCCATTACTTATGGGATTTAATATGAAATTCTTAATTATTACTCAATTTATAAACTTCCTACTTCAGCGTTCATTTTTTTTTCATAATATATTAATCATTAATAACATTTAAAATCATTTGCTTTGCCTGTAAATAATGTTATGCGGATGTCAGGGAAGAATCAATCGGTTTAGGAAATAATAAAAAAAGTTACACACAGTCTGTGACTTGTTCTACTGCAACATACACAACATCCTGACGTTATCTTATAATGCCTATCATATATCTGTAGGTCGAAGATCAAGGGAACCAGCAATAAGCAGACCTTGAAACCGTTTTTCATAATATTATCTTATCTGTGGCCTTGTTACTGGAAAAAAGCAAGGATCAATCGTACCTAATGGAGGAATGCTAGAGAATTAATTGCAATTAGTGTTTCAGGATTATACATATGGACATAAATTTGAGTTCAAGATGTATAACGAATAATTCATTATGAAGTGAGGAATACAGATTATTTTTTTTAGATATGAATCATTGCTCAGTGCTTCATCGAAGTCACAGTCGGCTGAAACGGTGTGTTGGTGAACAGAATCATCAGTGGAAGCAATTTGAGAGAGAGAGAGAGAGAGAGAGAGAGGAGAAGAGAGAGAGAGAGAGAGAGAGAGAGAGAGAGAGAGAGAGAGAGAAAATGCTCTATGAATATCTACTTTCATCTTCATAACTGACTTTCAGACAAAGTTTTGCTTGCCATTTAATATTTTCTGAAGCAAAGAGACAGTGATTTGAAAGAGTGTAATTTGTCATGCTGCAGACAAGCTACATTCTTATTCTTGTTATACATTGTGTGTATTTTTTCTTACACATACCGAAGAAAATTTGAAAAGCTTGTGTGAGAGAGTTAAAATAAATTGCGTTAACAAGCGAGGTATATCAATTTCTTTTCCCTGGTTAAGCTCATGGAGCAAGGAGTGGACCTAGTAGCGACCAACCAAGAGGCGGGGCCAGGAGCAGTGAATCAATCCCTGCAACCACAAATGGGTGAATACAAATAAGTGAGTACACACTGAGAAATAAAGGATGATTCACAACAGACAACCAACACGGGCTTATAAGGAAAAAATCTTATCTTACAAACGAACAACAGTTCAACTACACGGTAACTGATACCCGATAGGAAACAAAAGACAAGTTCATCATATTCCTGGATACTAAGAAGATATTCGATAAACAACCATACCACGGGTGGGGATTGAACCCGCGATCAGAGAGTCTCAAAACTCCAGACCGGTATGGTTCGTGGTAAGGTTTGTTTGCAATTGTGTCATTACGATTTCGTGAGTCAAGATATTCGATATTATACCAAAGCAGATAAGGGAAAAGGTACTACGATCCATCGATGAATATAAGAGGAAATGAAGATGGTGATTGTCAAGGAGATATCAGGATGAATAGAGGTTACCAAGTGTTCCAAATAATGAGTACCAAGGGATCAAACTGCACAATTTGAAGAGTGAGCATCGTGTTAGGATCATTAAGATCTATCGATAAGTAACTACACAGAGACGCTCTAATGTTACCATCTTTAAATGAATGAAATGTGAAAAATAATCAGCGTGTACAGTAATGTTATCTACTCAATCTCCTTATTGTGGATGCCTAAATATATTGGTTCACAGTGACAAGCGTGAAACGTTAAAATACTTTAATTAAAAATGTTTCTCGTACCAGGATCTCTCTCTCTCTCTCTCTCTCTCTCTCTCTCTCTCTCTCTCTCTCTCCTCTCTCCCTCCCTCCCTCTTTCTCTCTCCCCCCACCCTCCCTCTTTCTCTCTCCCTCCCCCACCCTTCCTCTACCTCCCTCTCTCTCTCTCTCCATTCCTCTCTCTCCATTCCTCTCTCTCCCTCCCTCCCTCTCTCTCTTTACCTCCCCCTCTCCCTCTCCCTTTCCCCCTCTCCCTCTCTCCCTTTCCTCTTTATTCGAGCAATAAAAACCTAGTTTTTTTAAACCCAAGTTCTTAGTAATATTAAGACAGAAAAAATGCTAGAAACATATAACATGAGAGTGAAGTCAGGATCAGCACCAGCGCTGAATGTTCATACATATGATGCGACGTGTTGGACTCGTAAGAATGTGGTCATAATTAGGTCAGCATGTGTGGCGATTAGCGCATGACAGGTTGATACCTACGTTGTGTCATTACAGGAACTGCTCATGACAGGTTCATTGTAAATTAAACAGATCAAAATTATACTAACGACATGTTAACGAATGACCTGGCTCCTAAGGCTCTAATATAAAGGCTCTATAAGATTGATAAAGCCAGCTCTAAAGGCTAAACGTCTCTCAAAGACACCCAGGTGCTTTACACCTATTTTTCTGATGTGTGTTATTTCAGGTGGGGGAAGTGGCATTGGCCGAGCCATCTGCCAGGTGCTGGCCAGGGATGGTGCCAGGATGGTAGTGGCCGACATTAATCTCCAGGGAGCCCAGGACACCCTTAGTATGCTTCCTAGTAAGTCACCCTTAATTTACTCCTTAGTAAGTCACCCTTAATATACTCCCTAATAGGTCACCCTTAATATACTCCCTAGTAAATCACCCTTAATATACTCCTTAGTAAATCATCCTTAATATACTTCCTAGTATGTCACCCCTTAATATACTCCCTAGTATGTCACCCCTTAATATTCTCCCTAGTAAGTAATCCTTAGATGCTCTCTAATAGCCAGGTAGCTTGGAATCATATTTTGAACTCAATGCGCTTACCTATGAATCTATTAAAATTCCCAGCTAATGAATGCTGAAGGCATTAGCTTCAATAATGAACTTTAGAGTTTACTCCTCTCATCTATAACTGTTGCTAATCCATTGCTTTAGAATATCCTTCTAAAGCTGAAAATATTCACTCTGAATTGGATCCACAAAATCTCCACTACTCAGTGAAGTCGTTAGAGCTCCTAACACCATCAGCTATCATACCCACAATTCAAATAGAGTACATAACATTATTGCTTGCAAAATGCCACTCCCTCGTTACTCTCCCCGGCCCAGGTCAGGAAAAGACCCGGGCCAGGAGAGTAACGGCGAATCAAGAGGCCACTCCCTCAATTCATCCTCAGCACCAAAAATCAAGTCACTATCTCATCCCCAGCATCAATCATTGCCACACCCTCAGTATTTTCAAGAGTTTGATACCACCACTGTTACGACTTTGATGTCGTAACTTAAATAAAATAGTCCTGGCTCCTAAAGGCTGCTTACATGGCTGTCTAGAGGTTATAAAATTACTTTGAAAACAGCAAGCCTTGGGCCAGCATGCACTCATATTAAATAATGAAGCATGAATGCAAATAATTAACGTTGTATAAGTAAGGACACAAAAACTCGCCTATACAAAAATACGTATATGTACACCATCCATCACAATCACAGTTTCTATAATTACACTTTCAGTTACACCCAAAATACATGACACTGCCACCTATCATCACACTCACAATTAACTATCACACCCACAGTTCACCCTCAGTATCTATTGCCATCGTCTTTTTATCACTATGCAGATCCCGGCGACCACCTGGCCCTACCCATAGACGTAACAAGTCAGGACTCTGTAGACTCGGCAGTCAAAGCCATCACTGAGAAGTACCAAACTCCTCCCAGTCTCCTAGTCAACAGCGCGGGAATTGCGACGAAGTTGCCTTTTTTGGATATTGAAGAAAAAGCCTTCATGGACGTGATAGATGTTAACCTCAAAGTATGTTATCTCTGGCTGTTAGCGTCACGATGTCTTCCTTAAAGGGATTTCTTAGATTCTGTCAAAAAAACGTTTTAACGTGTTCATGATCGTTGTTCACAACTATTAGGACCCTGATTGATCAGGCGAGACAAGGAACATAATACGTGATACAGGGGGATACCTTGCGAGAAACTAGTTGTACAGGCAGGTACAAATGTACATTGCTAAGTGTCAAATTTTTATCTTTGATAAATTATTAAACTAACTTAGGACCAATCCAATTTAACTTACGATAATCGATATAAACCTTTGATAACCCAATTTAATTTAGGATATAATCTCAAAACCTTATTCTTCTTGAAATTCACATTCTTCGTTAGTTAGGTTTGTGTGTAGCATTAGGCTGGTTGATTAATGGGGATGTAAAGCCTGTGACCTACACTAGGCTCTAAACCTTTACACCACCAGACAGGAATATTTCAGCACTAAAATTGGGATTAAACTGTCAGCATGTATACCTTAAGAGGTATATGAGATAAGATTCTGTTAGGAAATTTAACCCCGGAGGGTTAGCCAAGAAAGTCTGTGCGTCATTGAGGACTGAATCTTATTTCCACTGGGGTCCTTAATTAAATCTTGTCCCCCAGGATGCGACCCACACCAGTCGACTAACACCCAGGTATCTACTTGGTTGTTAGGTGAACAAACAGCAGGTGCGGGAAAATACGCCCAATGTTTCCACTCATGCCGGGGATTGAACCACGGACACTCATTGTGTGAGGCGAATGTTGCCTACCAAGTCTCGGGACACAGTTTGTATATAGTGTATTATTGTTGGTAGAATTACCAACAATATGTTAGGTGAAAGGACACATGTACAACTAATGTTACATTTTACTGTGGCAACGTTTCGCTCTCCAGGAGCTTTATCAAGCCTGATAAAGCTCATGGAAAGCTTACGTTGCCACAATAAAATGTCACATTAGTTGCAAATGTGTCCTTTTACTTAACGTTTATATATATCCTGTGCCTTACAACACATATAGCAACTGCTTGCATTTACGTGATATAAAGTATAAGGTATAGGGCAATGCAATGATTATAATGCTTCAGTGTTGACTCCTGTTAGTGCTTCATTGTTAAAACAAGAAATCCTTTTCATAAGTGTCTGCAATTACATCTAAGGCCGCATAGGGGATCAACAATTTAAACTCGGCGTAATGCTGTACGTACTTTGGTCATATCCTCTGTTATTAGTTCTCGGGGGTTAGTAAACAAAAGAAAATATATTTCCCTTCAAATTTTAGTAAGCTGGGTAATGCTACTGAAGTGACGAAAAATATTTAGACGAGTTATACCTTGAGAAGTACGAGCGAACTGACATCAATAATATTTAAGAGAATGATCAGGGCGTACTGTCAGGTAGTTAAGTACCTTAATGACAACAACATTCTCCATAGCTATCAATCAGGCTTTAGAAGATCTTACTCAACCGACACCTCCCTAATTAATCTGATGGATTGCATGAGAACTGAAATGTCGATGGGGAACCTCAAATGTATGGTAACCTAAGACCTGCAAAAGGCCTTCGATACTGTCAACAATATATTATGTAAGAAACTTTAAGCTATCGGTATAGGTTCTATAGACTGGTTTAAGTCCTACCTTAGCAACAGGAAATAAACTGTCAAAATCAGCAAAACAGAATCAGAACCCCTACCGATCGCATGTGGAGTTCCCTAAGGTAGCATTTTGGGTCCCTTATTATTCCTTTGCTATGTTAACGATATGCCTCTCAGTGTCAAGTGTAAACTCCTACTGTATGCAGATGACAGTGTTCTGTTAGTGTCAGGTAAAGACCCACATGATACAGCTAATGTATTAACACTGGAACTGGAGTCCTGCAGCAAATGGTTAGTTGACAACAAACTATCGTTACACCTCGGGAAAACTGAACCCATTCTCTTTGGCACGAAACAAACTGAAGTGATGGGGAGCCCATCACTTCAATTTCCTCAGTAAAATATCTGGGAATCCCCTTTGACCCATGCATGTCAGGAGAATTGATAGGGAACAGTGTAATAAAGAAAGCGGATGCCAGACTGAAGTTCCTCTATAGACAAGCACAGTGTCTACCTACTGAGACTCGCAGGACCCTATGTCAAGCCCTTATACAATGTCATATGGACTACGCTTGCTCTTCATGGTACTCTGCCTTCACACACACACACACACACAAAAAACTGAAAGATAGACTGCAAATCACCCAGAACAAAATGATAAGATTCATCCTGGACCTGGGTCCGAGAGAGCATGTAGGCCAGGATGAATTACAACAACTGGATATACTGAATGTTAAAGACAGTGAAACAACTGAAGCTAAATAAAGTTCATAAAATTGCTCAGTGTCCAGATTATCTTGCTGCCAATTTTGTCAAGGCTGAGAACCAAAGCAATCATAGTACTAAGGGGAGAGAGCACAACTTTGTAGTACCCACAGTCAGGGGCCAGTTTTCAAACATCTTTTATTGTACAGCAATAATGGAATGGAACAGATTACCTGCACAGGTCAAAGCTAGTCATAGCATGAGCCAGCTCAAGAAGAGAGCCAAAAGATTTCTGATGAATGTAGCGACAGAAAGGGCGGGTAATTTTTTATCTTTTTAGCTAACGCGCAAGTAATTTTGCCTTATTCCTAGTATGTCTCCTTTATAGTAGGATAATAAGATATTATCTCCTTTATAGAATAATAAGAAATTATCTCCTTTATATTATAATAATAAGGTAAAAGGACCCCAATGGAAATAGGTCTCACTGTCTGGCTTTTTGGGTTATCCTAAGTTCTTTACACACATGCCGCTATGTATGATAATCTAAGTAACTGTATTCGTGTATACCTGATTACACTTATTTACTTATAACTCGTTAAGCCAAATATTATGGATTGTTTCTACTGAGGCTCATTTTCTTCAGTTTCTCCAGAAAGTGACTCTAAACAGTCACCTAGCACCCATGTAAATAATTAGCATTAAATATACAGGGCAACAGGAATAAGAACCCAAGTGAAAATAAGTCAGTTTGTCTAACTTTTTAGGGTTATTGTAGGTAATTTACACTATGGATGATAAATGTACTTTTGAGTACCTGTGCCTAAATAAACTTAAGGAAGCGAGCCCACTAGGAAGGAACCCAAATCCATCGTTTGTGAGCCGAAGTTGCATCCACTGAATCTCTAGTTAATAAAATACAGTATTACGTATTATTAAGTGCCTTGTAACTGGCAGTGCCAAGAATTGGACATTTAATATTTGGTAATTAAAATTTTGTCCACGTTTTGGTTTACAGTGATATTCATTACACATACCATATGGAGACTACATGGTGTTATTTTGAAAATAAGATTCAAAATGGAGAGATATATTTGTAATCCAGTGAAGACTACAAAAGGGCCCCATGACTGTCCTGGGTTATCTTGAGTTGCTAACCTTCTGAGTTAATAATCCGAATAAATTCTTCAAGCTACTCTTATGCTGATTTACGTCATGTCAGACTGCAGATTATTTACACTAGTAATTTCTCTTATAATGGTTTAAGTCATATGTGACTGCACAGCTAAAAGTAGACTTCAGGCTTTTTAGCTGTAATTTCCCCAAGCTTATTTACGGCAAATCTGATTTTCCCCATCGTAGATGAAGCTCGTGTTGTTTTATTACAATAATGACATACAGTGCCAATAATAAGAAATTAAAGAAGATTTTTTTTTTAAATTCTGCCACCGAAGTTGCTAGTTTATTGTGCACTCCACATCCCTCCTGTGGACGGTAGTGCAAGAGCATATGGATACACAAGAGGCCTGGGAACTAGGCCCCAAAAGGGTTAACAGGAGTTCATTAGGATTTTTATCTACCTTTCACTTATCTGTTACAAGCAAATTTAGGGAATTTGCTTAGTATATCTGGTATCTTATTTTCATTAACATCTTGACATGTCACATAGGTTATACTGTCACAATATTCGTCAATATGTGGACAATTAAGCACATAGTGTTCGAGACAGTAACCATATGCCTGACCACATAATTTGCATTTGGTTTCATCATCTGTGTGTCTCCCAAACTGCCAGAAGTACTTGTAACCAAGCCTAAGCCTGGCCACTACAACGTCAGTCAGTCTGTTCACATTGCACGTGCTCCATAAACATACTTATCTACGTTCATATTATCATAGTGGGTTATAGATCTACTCAGGCTTCTAACTGCAGTCCTATAACACTTATTCTCATTATTACTTCTTTAACATTATTCCTAATGTTAGACGCAGATATACCAAAATTATATTCTAGACTCCTTCAGGGTGCTCTTCTTGTCTAACATAAATCTATCATGGAGTTATCCAATGTGTGATGGGATTCATAGCAATTGTACATTAATTCATATTTTCCTTGATTTTTGAGTATCTATACCTGGCTTCTCCAATGAGAATGTTGCTAAGAGTCATTATATGAGTCAAGAGCCTTCAATGATGACAGAATCAGTAATGATGATGGAGTCAAGCTCAGTGTCATGAGTTAGTTTTAGCGCCATTAGCACTGCAAACAATTCAGTTTGCAGTGTAGTTGCCCATTTGTTAATTCTTATGCCTAACTCAACAAATTTATTATCGTTCTTAACTAGAGAGGTATGTGGAACATATGGGTATCTTTATTTGAACAGTCACACAGTCTTTGTGTAGCTTTGCAAGGCTGATTACCTCATCTTCTGTTGCCTTTGCATATCGTCTCAATTTTGATTTGGGTCTAGAGAAATTATTCAAATTAAGGTCGATTTCTAGCGCAATCGGCACACACTGAGGTGGTCCGTGGTTCGATCCACGGTACGGGTGGAAACATTAGTACTTTTAAGAAAAACACACGCTGTTTCTGTTCAACTAGCAGTATAATAGGTACCTGGTGTTAGCCGACTGGTGTGGGTCGTATGCTGGGGACAAATGCTCTGCATAACAAGGGCTTTCTGTATAGAAGTATGTCACTGACGCCAGCAACATCTGGATACGTTATTTATAGAAATAAAGATTATCAATTTATTATAGATGTTGCGCGTACCTTATGTTGCTTGGCTTAGGCAGACGCCCATTCTGCATGAATGAAACTAATCTGAGACACACACACACACACACACACACACACAGGGAACCTTCCTTGTGAGTCAAGCAGTCATCAAGTCGCTGCTGAAGCAGGAAGCGCTCGGTGTTGTGGTCAACATGGCCAGCCTTGCCGGACAAATAGGGCTACGCAACTACTCCCACTATGCTGCCAGCAAGGGTGGTGTGATGGCCCTCACCAAGTCCATGGCAGGAGAATTCGCAAAGTTAGATACACACATTTTTTCCTTTAAACATGGATTATTTGAACATACAGGACATATATACTGAACATATTTAATTTATACCAGGAAGGGTGTTCGGGTAAACTGCGTACTTCCTGGTCTAATCGATACTCTTCTAGCGAATAACGTGTCTACCGAAGCTGCAGCAGTTATTGCCCTCACTGCAGTGGGAAGAATTGGACAAGCTGAAGGTTGGTACTATAACGCAGGGATGCTATTACATAAGACAGGGGAGACACATATAACGTGCTCCTTATTATTGAGAAGAAGCTACGTAAGAAAACGGGCACAGAATCTATTCATATAAGATTTTTACTTAAAGAACATATTTTTAACTTCTAATTAAAACACTCACTTTTGAATGAATGAATGAATGAATGAATATATATATGTCGTGCCGAATAAGTAAAACTGGTCAATTAGCAAGAACTCATTTAAAATTAAGTCCTTTCTAAAATTTTCTCTTATACGTTTAAAGATATATATTTTTCATTAATGTTAATGTAAAAATTTTTAATTTTGCACCAAAAGAATCTTAGAAAACTTACCTAACCTTATTATAAAAACAGCAATTTATTTTAGCCTAACCAAACTAAATATATTTTAAATACGTTTACAATAATTTAGTACTAAGCAAACACAATCAAATATATTTTTTTTCGTTAGGTTCAGAATGAATTTGGCGAAATAATTGCATACACAAGTTTTCACTTGTCGTATATGGCAAGATGAGCGTTGCTATTTAAGCCAAGATCGCAAGTTCTGCCTATTCGGCACGACATATATATATATATATATATATATATATATATAATATATATATAAATATATATATATATATATATATATATATATATATATATATATATATGTCGTGCCGAATATGTAAAACTGGTCAATTAGCAAGAACTCATTTAAAATTAAGTCCTTTCTAAAAATTTCTCTTATACGTTTAAAGATATATTTTTTTCATTAATGTTAATATAAAAATTGATAATTTTGCACTAAAGGAATCTTAGAAAACTTACCTAACCTTGTTATAACCAGAGTAATTTATTTTACCCTAACCCAGCTAAATATATTTTAGATTTGTTTACAATAATTTAATACTAAACAAACACAGTGAAATATATTTTTTTCGTTAGGTTCAGAATGATTTTTGCGAAATTATTCCATACACAAATTTTCACTTGTCCTATATAGCAAGATGAGCGTTGCTATTTAAGCCAAGATCGCAAGTTCTGCCTATTCGGCACGACATATATATATATATATGTGTGTGTGTGTGTGTGTGTGTGTGTGTGTGTGTGTGTGTGTGTGTGTGTGTGTGTGTGTGTGTGTGTGTGTGTGTGTGTGTGTGTGTGTGTGGTGACGAATAGGTAAAACTGGTCAATTAGCAAGAACTCGTTTAAAGTTAAGTCATTTCTAAAATTTTCACTTATATGTTTAAAGATATATTTTTTTCATTTATGTTAACGTAAAAATTAATAATTTTGTACCAAAAGAACCTTAGAGAACTTACCTAATCCTATTATAACAAGCGCAGTTTAATTTAGCCTAATCCAGCTAAATATATTTTAGATAAGTTTACATTTATTTAATAATAAACAATCACAATGAAAAATATTTTTCTCAATAAGTTCAGAATGATTTTTTTGCGAAATTATTGCATACACAAATTTTCGCTTGCTTTATTCGGCAAGAAGAGCTGCGGGTGGCCAGGACTCGATCTTACGTTCCCATGCCCTTCCCAGTGAGAACTGACAAAGCATGCATCACTATCCACTGGACCATCAATCGTTTAAAACCAGGTACTCAGCAGTACTGAACGTGGTTTCCCTGGTGCAAGGACATGTGTGGTTGTGGAGCCTCAGAGAATAATTTCAACCTCATCCTGTTTGATGTACCAGCTTTCACGAGCAGTCTATACATTAATAAAATCACAAAACAAGTGATTTTGAATCATTAACATAACTTCGGCTGGCCAGGACTCGATCCTGCGTTCTCAAGCGATGCTGAGCATCTTTTGTTTAGGGATTGATGGTCCAGTGAATAGAGTGATGCATTGATGCATATTTTGAGCTCTTACAGGGCTGGGCGTGGGAACGCAGGGTCGAGTAGTAAAGACACCTGTGGATTTTCTGTGAGAAAATAACTTTTACTCCCAAACAGAGGTGGCCGAAGTGGTGGCGTTCCTTCTGTCGGAGAAGAGCAGCTTTATGGTAGGGTCTTGTGTGGAGGTCTCAGGTGGGTATGGCATTTAATTTGACTCTGTAGAGGCCAGGCCCCAGCGTCAGGACGTTAAGGGAACTTGGAGGTTATCGCTGCAGCCACAAGACGTGAAGTAGATTTTGAGGTATCCACTGCCAAAGGAATGAGAATTTTAAAGAAGCCATTCCAAAGTCAAGTCCTTACCATACGTGAAGTGGATTTTGTATCAGTCACCCCCAACGACAAAATAATTGTGAATATTGAGGCTACTATTACCAGCGTCAGGATATGAAATGAGCCTAGAGGAGCTCGTCTGACACTTGACATGAAAAGAACTCTGGGGCTCAATTTTATCGGGCAACATTCAGTACTGATGAAGATATACAATAAATTACTAAAAAAATTAATTTCCTTTATTTATTCCTTCCGGATTCATAATATTTAGGTGGTATGTAGAGAAATAATAGTAAAATGGTGACAATTGGAAGTAAAGATACTGGTGAACTAGGATACTTCTAATAACACATTTTTTCTATTAGTTGATGCTCTGTGAAAGACATTGCAGACAAGATCATTGAGAAAACAGGTCACTCAAGATCTCAAAAACTTCGAAAAGAAGTGTGGCGAGGTTAGGTATTGGTGGTATCAGAGGATGGGAATAAGGTGACAAGTTATTATTTCACGAATCGTGTACAATGTGTACAATACGTCAAGTCAATATGTACAGTCCATTGTAATGCTCACTGGCTTTGGTGAGGTGGATCATTACGGCTTCTAAAATTCTGTGTCTGACTCTGTCGTGCTCGTGGTGCAACAATTGTGCTCTTCCTAAGTCCATGACGTGAGATTGAAGACTGTAGTGGAATATGCATTGGTTGTTGGTTTTATCCCTCCTGCATTGTAATTAATGCTCCTGGAGGCGTGTCTGAAGGTCTGTACCGATCTCTTGTAGAATTTATAGGAATAAAGACGTGTGTGTTGTATACTCCTGCTATGTAAATAGTTCTAGGTTAAGGGTTTCTGGTGATCATTGAAAGTTTTGGTAGTAAGGACTGCCACATCTATTTTGCCTTTTCGGAGAATCGTAGCGATGGTGATGGTAGTCTGCCCAGTGGAGAGGACCAGTGGTCTACTGATGCTGGGATCTATGGGACTGCGTGTATAAGGAAGGCTTTCTCTTCATAGTAGATAATGTCTGTTGGGAATTTTATGTTGGTGAACACCTCAACAAATATTCATTATTCTAACAGATATTTCCTCTGCTACCAGCGATTTTTTCGCCTTCGACCTTACACCAAAATCTATTTCTTCCTCCTTACGTTGCTAAAACACAAAGATTTTATTCTAATTAATAACCTCGCAGTGTTTATAACTCAGTTCATATCAAGAATACCAAGCAATGTGGCTTGTTTTCACTGAGGACCTTTTTAGGTTCTTTACCCAGATAAGGCCTATAGCTATATTCTTAATACTAGGTATCTATTTACTGCTAAATTACGGGAGCAGCAGGTGTTAGAAAATTTGCTCATACCTCCCTTTATGTGCATGGTTCGACCCGAGGTTCTCTCAGTAGTGAATCAATAGTTGGGTACCATTACTCTAGCAGCAGGAAGATTGTAAATACATAATCCCAATGTATTACTTGAAAAGAAATAAAATTGATTGATTGATGCTCACAGAACAATAATTCGACTAGAAATATTGATATACAAGTCGGGTTCTAATATGGTTTAAACATTCGAAATGAAAATGAATGTTGCTACATAAGATGTGACATGTTGGACGAGTATAGTACAGGAACTTTAACTTTTCAATCGCCTTTTCTTACTACAATGTGGACTTCTAGTTAATTCCACATGCACGAATCATGTATTCCACGATACTTCATCTAAGCTGTTCTTCAAATGGATTACTAAAATTATTTACCCATTTCAATTTACATTTCAACCAAATAATATAGTTTTGGTTTTTTTCCCCAAAATAATCGATAATTTATGAATTAACCGATGACAGCACGACCTCAATTCCAGTGAAAATTTTTAACTATTTTCTTTGACACTGCCTGACACAAAGCGATCACTGTCATCCGCCTACAATAAGAGTTTGCATTTAACAGTAATGGGAATATAATTCACAAAGTACATGCAGAGCAGTGAGGACCCAATATACGTCCTTGTAGAACTCCATACGATATCGGTAAGGATTCTGATTATGTACTGATTTTCTCAATTTATTTTCTCTTGTACAAGAAAAGACAAAAGTGTACAGAACCTCTCCCGATACCTGCCTATGAGCCACTGTATTAAATGCCTTTTGAAGATCTTAAGTGATAATACTTGCGAAATTTCCTTTTCGATATTGCGGTTCTTAAATAATATACTTCCGTAATTAAGGAAACATCTTTTGAATAACATTCCTGTTAACATCTCAAGAGACAAATGCACTTAGGAAAAGTCCGGCTTATTGTGTATTGTTCCAACCACTGTATTGCGTCTTTTTACTCTTTCATTTAATCTTTAGTGCATTATCCTGACAAGGATGGGGAAAGGGTACCTTGATGCTTATTAAGGGCTCCTGATTAAAAGAATTAGAGCTATCCTTGTTTATTAGATCAAACTTGATGGCCTCAAATGCTATGTATGACCCTTAGATATTTATAGCTTCCCTAGGAATACATAATTTTTTCTGACAATTATCGAGGGCGAGAAATAGTGGACACTATATAAAAATCTTCGTAAGGAAGTGTTGCAATCAGCACATCAGAAGCTTGCAATGTTGCAGAAAAGAGGAGGAGGTCCAAGTAAATACGATCAGGGGAAGCATCTTTGCTCGAACGAGACAACGGGGCCGAAGGCAGTAAGTGCCCAAGAGCCAGAATAATTGAATATTGTAGCATCAGAAGACAGCCAGCGCACAAGCACTGATACTCACGATGAACTCACGGCTGCACACTCTGTAAGCTCTTGTCGGTATTTTATACCTGTCCTGCACAACTTGTCAGGCACTGCAACATCATGGTATCTTGATTCAGAGGACTTCTACAAGACCTTCTTCACGACTTCTACAACTAGCCCATCAATTTGGGAAGGACCTACTTCCACTGGGGAATCCCGCCTACCAGTGACAATGCCCTCGTCTGCTACACGTCCCTCTTCACTGACGCCTATATAAGCGCCAGTCTCCTTACCTGTGCTTCAGAATCTCTACAACCACGGTGTTGTAAACACCACCTCCAAGGCTGAGGGACTGATTACCTCATCTTTTGTATATAGTTCTTCCGTTTTCTAATTATGTCCAAGAATCTGTATTGATAAAGCCACTGGATGGCGAAACGTCTACAATAAAGATAACCAGATGTTGCACAAGTGTCTTAACTTTCATCATCACTTCAAGCTCTAAGAAACATAGTGGAAAAGACACTCCTTTTTACTCTGGTCTCATTGTTGGAATAATAGTGGATATTTGAGCACACATTACTGGCCTTCCTATATATTCTAAACTTTAACTTTCAATCAACACGTCTAGGAAATGGAGTTTAGGTTCCACTTCTATCTCCACAGTGAATTTAATAGACGTAACCAAAACATTAAGTCTCGGTAAGAATGTATACAGGGCCATATCATTTGGCCACAAAGACAAGATGTCGTCCACATATCTGAACCATCTAGCTTTACGGGGAAGGATGTCTTTCAACAGTCTTACGTCAAACAACTCCATATATAAATTGCTCAATAGGAGAGACAATGGATTTTCCATAGATCTTCCCTGTCTTTGAGAGTAGTATTTCCCTTCAAACTCAAACTTGCAATCAACAACTCGTAAATTAACCAGCTCAGTAATGGTGCTCTTATCAAAAGGCATGGAGAACTGATCTAATTCTTCTTCCAAGTAGGATGGCAAATCGGAAACAGGAACTAGAGTGAATAACGCAGTGACATCAAAACTTACTAGAGCAAAATCATAGAAAATGTTAATATTTGGCAGACATGAGTCTTGGAGAAAGGAAATACAGTGCCTGCACTCTGAAGGAGTGGTGATATGTTGCAGTTTTTTTTTTTTTTAAATGTAGTGTAGTCACGCCTCTGGCAAGACAGTGATGGAGTGAATCATGATACTCTGCAAAACAACCACGGGGGATTGCTTTGCATCTTGTGTTGCAATGTTTGCATAATATACATTATATCATACGCAAATAACCCGTACATATAAGAGAGGAGCTTACGACGACGTTTCGGTCCGACTTGGACCATGTACAAAGTCATCAGGCCAAGTGTCTATCGACGAATGCCTTCAAGTATTAGCTCCTACCATACACAAAAAAAAAATTATTATGAGGCAAAGTGTTTATCGACAAGTGTCTTTGACAACTAGTAACTACACAGTTACCTTTGTTATCATCAATTATAATCAGTTATTATGAGGTCAAGTGTCTATCGACGAGTGCCTTTAAGTGTTAACTACTGCCACTCACACACACACACAATAAACGCACCACCCACACACACAAAAAAAATTATTATAAAGCAAAGTGTCTATCGACAAGTGTTTTTGACAACTAGCAACTACACAGTTACTTTGGTAATCATCTTGCATGATTAAAACAATTTGCGTTTTATCTCCATCAACAAAAAAATCTTTCTGATAATATAAACTGCGTAGCACTCAAGAAAAGCTAGCAGCCATACTTGACGAGCGACAGATTACGAGCAGCCACGACCCAAGCAGTTCCAGTTCTCTGTCAGGATGTCATCTCTTTTTGGTGGTAAAGTGGCGCTGGTCACAGGTAAGATGTCAACTTTACTTATGTGCAAGTTACCCTTTTCTCACTGGTACTTGTCAGTTAGACAATTCATCAGTTGTGTGTGTGTATGTTTATGCTTTGTGTGTGAGTGTTTTGTGTATGTTTATGCTTTGTGTGTATTTTGTATGTATTTTGTATGTATTGTGTATGTTTTGTGTGTGTGTTTTGTGTGAGTTTTGTGTATGTTTTGTGTTTTGTGTGAGTGTTTTGTGTGAGTTTTTGTGTGTGTGTGTGTTTTGTGTGTGTTTGTGTGTGTTTTGTGTGTGTGTGTCAGTTTTGTGTGTGTTTTGCGTATGTGTATGTGTGTGTGTTTGTCTGTGTCTGTGTGTGTTTGTGAGTTTTGTGTGTGTGTGTGTGTGTGTGTGTGTGTGTGTGTGTGTGTGTGTGTGTGTGTCTGTGTGTGTGTGTTGTGTGTGTGTGTGTGTGTGTGTGTGTGTGTGTGTGTGTGTGTGTGTGTGTGTGTGTGTGTGTGTATGTGTTGTGTGTGTGTGTTGTGTTTGTGTGTTGTGCGTGTGTTGTGTGTGTTGTGCGTGTGTGTTGTGTGTGTGTGTGTTGTGTGTGTGTGTGTGTGTGTTGTGTGTGTGTGTGTGTGTGTGTGTGTGTGTGTGTGTGTGTGTGTGTGTGTGTTGTGTGTGTGTGTGTGTGTTGTGTGTGTTGTGTGTGTGTGTTGTGTGTGTTGTGTGTGTGTGTGTGTGTGTGTGTTGTGTGTGTTGTGTGTGTTGTGTGTGTTGTGTGTGTTTGTGAGTGTGTGTGTGTGTACACTCACCTAATTGTGGTTGCAGGGGTTTAGTCATAACTCCTGGCCCCGTTTCTTCACTGCTCGTTACTCTCTCCCTGCTCCATGAGCTTTATCATGATGTAGTTGATGCAAGATCCATACATGTATGAATCTTGCCTCCATTGCATCACTTTCTATGACGGAAGAAATACTTCCTAAAATCCATGTGACTTATCTGAGTCTTCAACTTCTAATTGCGAGCTCTTGTTGCTACGCCCCTATCCACCTTGTCAGTTCCTCTCGGTATTTCATATGTCATCATCATGCTCCCTCACCCCTCTTGTCGTCCAGTGTCGTCAGGTCGATTTCTCTTAACCTCTTCTCGTAGGATATACTCCTTAGCTCCGGGACTAGTCTTTTTGCAAGCCTTTGCACTTTCTCTAATTTCTTTACGTGCTTGACCAGGTGGGGGTTCCAAACTGGTGCTGCATACTCCAATATGGGCCTCACATACACAGTGTACAGAGTCTTGAACGATCTCTTATGGAGGTGTCGAAATACTATTCTTAGGTATGCCAGGCGCCTATATGCTGCAGCAGTTATTTGGTTGCTGTGCACCTCAGATATGCTCAGTATTATACTCATCCCAAGATCCTTTTCCTTGAGTGAGATTTATACTCTTTGACCCCCTAGCCTGTACTCTGTCTTTGGTCTTCTTTGCCCTTCCACAATCATGACTTTGCACTTGGTGGGGCTAAACTCCAGGAGCCAGTTGCTGGACCAGGCTTGTTCAGATCCCTTTTGTTGTCCTTCCCGATCCTCATTCGATTGAATTCACGTTAGCTTCACATCGCCTCTTCTGTCTCATGTTCAGCTCTTCACATACTTCTCGGTTGTTTCTTGTGATCTCCCCTCCTTCCTTCCTTCCACCGCCCGATTAACTGGTAATTGACTGTTGATTTCCTCCTGATGTGGCTGTACAACAGCTCTGGGTCAGACTTGGTTTTCAATGCTAAGTCATTTTCGAATTGCCGCTAGTCCTCCCTCCTTATCTGTGCATATTCGTTTCTAGCTCAACGATTATTTCCTTAATTTCCTGATCCTTTGTCTTATATACTTTTTCCATTCTCTAGGGGTATTTAGTTTTATCCTGTATACACCTTAGGGTGAACCAAGGGCTCGTTCTGGTCGTCCCATTATGTCTGTTGCACTTGAGTACGAACCTCTCCTCTGCCTCCTTGCATTTTGTTGTCACGTATTCCACCATTTTATTTGCTGATTTTCCCACATTTCACTTTCCCACTAAATCTCGTGTAGGAAATTCCTCATGCCTGTGTAGTCTCCACTTTTGAAGTTTGGCTTCTCCCATCCTACTCTTCCTGCTACTCTCTCCACTTGTAATTCTACTAATTATTCGAAGCTCAGGACCATGTGATCTCTAACTCCACGGGGACTCTCATATATGAAGTCTTTAATGTCTGAACTACTCAAGGTGAATATAAGGTCCAGTCTTGCTGGTTCCTCTCCTCTCTCTCTAGTAGTGTCCCTAACGTGATTATGCATGAGGTTTTCCAGTACCACCTACCTAATCTTAGTCCTCCACCTTTCTGTTCCCCCATGTGGCTCCAGGTTTTCCAATTCAATTTCCTTGTTAATGTAATCACTCACAACTCGTGGACCCTTCTGGCCACCTCAGCTACTGTATCAACCATTGCTATGTTGCTCTCATCATATTTTTGTCTTCGCCTCCTGCTATTCTATGGTGAGTTATACATCGCTGAAATCACTGTGGAGTGTGTGTGTGTGTGTGTGTGTGTGTGTGTGTGTGTGTGTGTGTGTGTGTGTGTGAGACTTAAATAATGTTTGCATAAGTAACTCATTACGACTGTGGCCAGATATAAACATGTAAATAGTTCACTATCACTGTATCCTGTTCAGCTATCATAACTTTGGGGCCCAGTCCATGGACAATTTTATACCTTTGTAATCATTTGACTACCGCCCACAGGATGAGTCTGGGTGCATAATAAAGGTGTTAAACTTAAACCTTGACTTATTGAAAATTATCAAGATTCAGTTTAATTTCAGTGTTATCTCTAAGAGGGAACGACTCATTACCTCTGGGATTTAATATGAAATTCTTAATTATTACTCAGTTTATAAACTACTTCAGCGTTCATTAATTTTATAATATATTTAGTCATTAGTAATATTTAAATCCTTTGCTTTGCATGCAAATAATGTTATGGATAACAAGCATCTCGGGTGTGCGTATGTTAAGGAAGAATCACTCATTTTAGTAATCTGAAAAAGGTCACACAGTCTGTGATTTGTTCTACTGCAAGATACACAACATCCTGACGTTATCTTATCATGCAATTATACATGAAGGTCGAAAATCGAGGGAACCCGCAGTAAGCAGACCTTGAAACCGTTTTTCAAAATGTTATCGAATCTTTGGCCCGGTTACTAGCAAAAATAAGGATCAATCGTACCTAATAGAGAAATGCTAGAGAATTAATTGCAATTAGTATGTCAAGATTAAACACATGGACATATTTGAGTGCAGGATGTATAGCGAATAATTCATTATGAAGTGTGGTAGTCAGATTAGTTTTTTTAGATATGAATCATTGCTTAGTGCCACATCGACGTCACAGTCGGCTCCAACGGTGTGTTGAGAGATTTCGTTCGGATTTTTAACCCCGAAGGGTTAGCCACCCAGGATAACCGAAGAAAGTCAGTGCGTCATCGAGGACTGTTTAACTTATTTCCATTGGGGTCCTTAATCTTGTCCCCCAGGATGCGACCCACACTAGTCGACTAACACCTAGGTACCTATTTGCTGCTAGGTGAACAGGACAACGGGTTTAAGGAAACGTGTCGAAATGTTTCCACCCGCCGGGAATCGAACCCCGGCCCTCCGTGTGAGAAGCGGGAGCTTTAGCCACCAGGCCACCGGTGTTGGTGGACAGAATCATCAGTGGAAGATCCCACATATGATGCGACATGTGGACGCCTAAGAATGTGGCGAAATGCGTTAGTCGATCAACTCTAGAATCCGGTCACAGTTAGGTCAGCATGTGTGGCGATTAGCGCATGACAGGTTGATACCTACGTTGTGTCATTACAGGAATTGCGCATGCCAGGTTCATTGTAAATTTATCACTAGATCAAAATTATGCTAATGACATGTTAACGAATGACTTGTGTGCAAAACCTGAGTCCACTGGTTCTAATATGAAGGCTCTATAAGACGGATAAAGCCAGCTCTATAGGCGAAACGTCTCTCGAAGATTCCCAGGTGTTTTACACCTATCGTTCTGATGTGTATTATTTCAGGTGGTGGAAGTGGCATTGGCCGAGCCGTCTGTCAGGTGTTGGCCAGGGATGGTGCCAGGGTGGTAGTGGCTGACATCAATGTCCAGGGAGCCCAGGACACCCATAGTATGCTCCCTAGTAAGTCACCCTTAATATACTTCTTAGTAAGTCACCCTTAATATACCTCCTAGTAAGTCACCCTTAGTATATTTTCCAGTTAGTCACCTTTAGATGTTCTCTAAAGGTGACTAACTAGATGCTCAACAATAAGTTAGCAATAAGGAAGATTCATATTAAAACGTGCATGCTTCCCAATAGGCCCTTCATATACAAAACAAACACTACAATTAAATAAAAATCCAGTAAACAAAAATCCTTAACTGCATCAGTCATCAATATAAACCCCAACAATACACTACACCAGAAGTATAATACCAGGAGTCCCATCACATCCAAAGCTATCGACAGTTAAGTTTGTAAATACAAGTTGATGTACAAATTTCGGCATTTTATTTAAACGTCATAATCCAAATATTTTATCATAATTTAAATAAGCAAAATTTAAAAAGTGAAATACCACTACAACAAGCTTACTGGCAATGCTTTTTTCTCATATTTAACCATTCCCTCTCACTTTGTTAACGCATTTATTAAAACTGCTCAAGGCATTAGATTCAATAACTATACTCTGTAGTTTGCTCCTCTCATCAATAACCAGTGCTTTGCATTATCCATTCAAAGGGCGATATATTCACTCCAAACTGGATCCACACAATCTCCTGTGAGATCTTCCCCTCTCCTAACCTCATCTATAACCACACCCTCGATTCATCCAGAACCCCCCTTCCATCACTACGAAATTCACACTCATCATCTAACTACATAAATCAATTCTACACCCTCAATTCCACTTCAAGCGCTTGATACCACTACACAATCAGTTCACCCACGACATCACAGCCCAACATCACACCCACAGTTCACTTATTCCTCTATAACCAGTTGACACACTGCACACTACACTACCACCCAGCATCACATCCTCAGTTCACCCTCAGCATCTGATTTCATCGCCTTATCACTTTCATTGCAGATGAAGATAAATGGTATAAAATACAGACACGATGGCAAACTATACTGCACTGGTGTCTATTTTTCTCTGTAGATCCTGGGGATCACCTGGCTCTATCCATGGACGTAACAAATAAGGACTCTGTAGACTCAGCCATTAAATCCATCATGGAGAAGTACCAGACTCCTCCCAGTCTCTAGCCAACTGTGCCGGAATTATGAAGAGTTCCCCAATTTGTGAAATGGAAAAAAATGACTTTATAGACGTGATAAACGTTAACCTTACGGTATGTTGTACGTTGCTGCTAGTGTATTGACCAAGTACCTCCTGAAAGGGCTTCCTTAAATATTGACGATCAAAAAACATTTAGATTTACAGAAAAGTTTAAGGTACAATGCTACCAATGACACGTGTCATAAACTTATAATAAATTATGAAGGTTTAACTTAAAAATAACGCAATTAACCAAGAACAAACCCTATTTAACACAGGATTATTCATTTTAACTATAGAGAATCCAATTTAATCTAGAATCTTGCTGAATCTACGACAGCCCAGTAGAATGTAAACGTCTTTTTCTATGCTAGCGAAATCAGCTCTCACACCGATGTCCGGAGATCGATCCTCGTTACGGGTGAAAACACTAGGACGTGTTTCCTTAAGACACCTTGTCCCTGTTCACCTAGCAGTAGATATGTACCAGGGTGTAAGCCGACTGGTGGGGGTCGCATCCTGGGAACAAAAATAACATAATTTGCCATAAATGTTCTGCATAACAAAGCTTTCTATGTAGTATTATGTCACTGATGTCAGGTAGGCCTGTATACCTTGTACATGTACTTGTAGATATAATTATTATTATTATTAATTACATTCATGTGTAGGGCTCTATTTACTCAAAACAATTGTTAATTTGATTGGTTTTATAAAGTGGACGTAAAACCCTATATATATATATATATATATATATATATATATAATATATATATATATATATATATATATATATATATACACACTAAGAGGAATACTCCCTTCGGTATATATATCCTGTGCAATGCAAGACAGCAACTGCATTCATATACATGATATACAGCAAGCAGGATACAATATAAGGTATAAGCCAGTGCAATGATATAATGCGTCAGTGTAATCTCCTCTCAGACTGTCTTTGTTAAAAAAAGAATTCACTTCTTAAATTTCTGCAACTTCATCCTGGGGCATAAAGAGTCAACATCTCAAAGAGAGCACAATGCTTAATTTGCTTTTGTCTTATTCTGTCTTATTACTTCTCGGGAATTAACAGTGCTACTGTAGTAATGAAGAAGGCTTAGACGAGTGATGCCTTACCTTGTCGAGAAGCATTGGCGAACCGGCAGCAAAATATTTAAGAAAATGAACTTCAGTAACTTGAACAATCTTAAAGCAAATCATGAAAGATTAGTAACCAAGGACAACTTGTTAATGTAAGTCATTATATTATGGCTTATTTCTACCGAGGTTCATTTTGTTTGTCTTTCCCAGAAAGCGGCCCTAAACAGTTGACTAACACCCATTTATATATTTAGTGATAAATAAACAGAGCAACGGTATGAAAGAAATGAGCCCATTGTGCCCATTTGTCCTAGAATTGAACTTCATACCCTCGAGTTTATGACCCGAAGTTGCAACCGCTAAACCTCTAGTCGTTAAAAACAGTGCCAAGAAGTCACAAGTATTTTGTTATTGCCAGTAATAAGAATAAGACGCTTGATCTGTATGCATTTAAAATATTGTTCTTTCTTTGGTTTACAGTAATATTATACTACGTATGAAATTCGAAAACTAAATCAATGTGTTATTTTGAAATAAGAACATAAACTTCCGGGTTAGTAAGCCGAACGAATTCTTCAAGCCTTTCGTATGCTGGTTTACGTCAAGTCAGACTGCAGAGGATTTTTAACTGTAGTTTCCCTTATCCTCGTTTAGGCCAGAAATGAATGTATAGCTGAAATTAGAATTCAAGATTATTAGCTGATTTGAAGATATAAAGTGTATTTTGTGTACAGTATTGCAAGACTCTTTGCCTCATCTTCTGTTGTCTATTTGTATCGTCTGTATACTGATTTGAGTCTGGAGAAACGTCTTCAAATAAAAATACCCAGTTTGTTTACACACATTTTCTTTTTCCCTTGGCACAAGCGACACATTCGCTGCAGGGTTTAAAATTAACCTTAAAAAAACCACACAAGGGCACCTTCCTTGTGAGGTCAAGCAGTTGTCAAGTCGCTGTTGAAGCGGGAAAGGGGTCATGGTGTTTTTGTCAACATTGAAAGGAAATTGCGGGAAAAATATAGGGGTCCCCAACTACTCCCCTATGCTCCCAGCAAGGGTGGTGTGATGGCCCTAAACCAATTTCCAGGGAAAGGAGAACTCGCCCCTTTTTTAAAAGGTTTTAAAAAAAATTTTTTTTTTTTTTTTTCTTTTTTTTTTTCCCCAAAAAATTTGGGAAACCTTTTTTTTGGAAAAACAAAAAACGAAACCAAAAAATTAAAAATTTTTTTTGGAAAAAAAATTAAAAATTTTTTAAAAATTTTTAAAAATTTTTTTTCAAATAATTTTAAAAAGGTTGTTCGGGTTAAAAAAGGGCTATGCCGGTCCCAATCGGCAAATTTTAAAAAAGAAAATTAATTTTTGCAATTTTTTATTCTGAGGAAAAAAACAAAAAAAAAGGTTTTTTTATTAAAAGTATAAGGATTTTTTTGGTTAGAAAAAATTTAAGGAAAGTTTTAAAATTTTAATTTTGGGAAAGGGGTTTTCCTGGGTTTTTTTTCAAAAAAAAATTATAAAAAAATTTTTTATTAAAAAATTCATCTTTTATTTTGGCCAGTTTTAAATTTTTCCGAAAGGAAAATTTAATTTTAAAGAGTTTTAATTTTTGGCCCAAAAAATTTTTTTTGGCATTAGGGGGGTTTTTGGGAAATTGGTTTTTTATTTTTACAACTTTTAAATTACTCCTTTTTTTTACCTTAACAAAATTTTTTTTTTTTTTTTTATTTTTTTTTATTTAATTTTTTTCTTTTTTATTATTAAAATTTTTTTTATATATATATAAAAAACTTTTTTTATTCATTATTTTATATATATATATATTATATATATATAAAATATAAATTTTATTGTTTTTTATTTTTTTTTATTTTTTTTTTTTTATTTTTTTTTTTATTTTTTTTTTTTATTTTTTTTTTTTTTTTTTTTTTTTTTTTTTATTTTTTTTATTTTTTTTTTTCAAATTTTTTTTTATTATATTTTTTTTTTTTTTTTTTTTTTTTTTTTTTTTTTTTTTTTTTTTTTTAATTTTTTTTTTTTTTTTTATTTTTTTTTTTTTTTTTTTTTTTTTTTTTTTTTTTTTATTTTTTTATTTTTTTTTTTTTTGGTTTTTTTTTTTAATTTTTTTTATTTATTTTTTATTTTAATTTTTTTTTTATTTATATTTTTTTTTTTTTTTTTTTTTTTAATTTTATTTTTTTATTTTTTTTTTTTTTTTTTTTATTTTTTTTTTTTTTTTTTTTTTTTTTTTTTTTTTTTTTTTTTTTTTTTTTTTTATTATTTTTTTTTTTTTTTTTTTTTTTTTTTTTTATTTTATTGTTTTTTTTTTTTTTTATTTTTTTTTTTTTTTATTTTTTTTTTTTTTATATTTTATTTAATTTATATATATTTATATTTATATATTTTATATTTTAAATTTTTTTTAAAATATATTTATATAAATATAAAATATTTTAATTTATATTTAATTTATTTATATATTTTTTTTTTTTTATATTTTTTTATTTTTTTATTTTAATTTAAAATATTTTTATAATAATTTTAATATTATTTTATAATTTTATATATATATAAAATTTTATATATATAATATTTTTTTTTATTAATTTAAAATAATAATATATTAATTTATATAATTTAAAATTTAAAATATATATATAATTTTTTATATATTTTTTTATTTTATATTTTTATATATAATTTTTAAAATTTTTATATATATTTTATAATTTTTTTAATATTTTATTTTTTACATATAAAAATTTTATATTTAATTTATAATATATTATTTTATATATATAATAAAATATAAAATATATATATTTATATTATTTATAATATATTTTATAAAATATTTATATAATTTTATATATAATATATATATATATTTTTATATATATAATATTTTAATATAAATTTTTAAATATAATATATATTTTTATAATATATATAAAATATATAAAATAATATATATTTAAACATTATTTTTATTTAAAATAATATATATATAAAATAAATATATATATTTTTATAAATATTTAAAATTTATAATATATATTTTATTTATTTTTTTTAATATAAATTTTTAAAAATTTTTATTTTAAATATATTTTTTAATAAAATTTTTGTATAATATATAAAAAATATAAATATAATTTAATTTTAAATTTATAAAATAATATATATATTTATAAATATATTATAATAAAATAAATATAATATAAAATATATTAAAAATATATATTAATATAATTTTAAAAATATATATAAAATAAAATATATTTATATATATATATATTATATATATTTTATATATATTATATATTTTTATAAATATAAAATATATTTTAATATACTAATTATAAAATTAATATAAATAATATATATTTTTTTTAATAATTTTTTTATAAAAATATATATATAATTTATTTTATATAACAAAATTAAAATTATATATATATTTTATATAAAAAATTTAAAATTTTATAATATTATATATATATATTTTATATATATATATTTTTAAAACATAATTATATATATATATAAATTATTTTTTTATACTATATATTATATATTATATTTTATATATATATATAAATATAAAATTTTATAAAATTTATATATATAAAATATTTTTCCCCAAAAAAAGATCACGTAAACAGGTTTTTTTCAAAAAATGCAAAAAAAAACCACTTAAAAGAATAGAAAAATTCCAAGCGTTTCGGGGATACCACATTATAAGGGAAACTATAAAAGTAAAAGCACCCAAGGAAGCTATAAAAAGGGGCGGCCAGCCCCTTCACTATCAGATCCCAAAAAAGGGTTAAAAACACGTGACGGGGCGGGGGGAACCCAAACTTGGATAGGTCCTTTGGCAAAACTCACCCCCAAGCTTTTTATTTGCCCAGTGTTTTATTAAATTTTCCCAAAT